AACGAATCAACAGAAGACCCATGGGGTCACCTATCTCCAGACTAATAGCATAAGCGGTGATGCAGAGACTTGAAAGCATAACCCTTCCACAGATCCAAGCTAAACTATGGATCCGATACGTGGATGACACTTTCATCATCACCAAACGGACTAAACTAGAGGAGACACACCAACTAATAAACAACACTCTCACCGGCATCAAATTCACCAGGGAAGAAGAAAAGAACAAACAGCTCCCACTCCTAGATGTCATGGTAGAGTGCAGGGCCAACAGGGAATCAAAGGCACACAGAAAGGCCACACACACGGATCAAGTCCTGAACTTCAACAGTAACCACCTCAACACCCACAAACGAAGTTGCGTAAAAACACTATTTAAATGAGCCACAACACACTGTAGCAACCTGGAACTACGCCAAAATGAAGAAGAATATCTCTACCAAGTATTTAAGGACAACGGATACCCGAACAGCTGGGTCTGACGATGCTTATCACACAAACAACAACAGGAAGATACAGCACCCCCGACAGACTTGACATGCTACCATACATCAAGAACATATCTGAACTGACCACAAGACTCTTACGACCATTGGGCATCTAAGTGGCACACAAATCTACGTCAACTGCTAACTCGAACCAAAGACCCATTATGGACAGAACCAACGTGATACACAAGATTCCATGCAAGGACTGCGACAAACATGACATTGGACAGACAGGAAGAAAACCGGCCACAAGAATACATGAACACCAACTAGCAACAAAAAGACACAACCAATGCTCACTTATCTCCATTCACACGGATAAAGAGAGCCACCAGTCTACCAGAAATGAGGTAATCAACTCCAACGGACGCCAGAGTTAAATATCAGGTGGGAAAACACAACAGCGCTTTATTGCTGATGATGTTACCCAGCAGGGTAATGAAACGTCTGCAAACTATTAGACCAGCTCGGCGAGCCAACCAACCACAGCATCCACAACCTGAGCTACAAATCTACTCAAGAATCTGAAAAATCTGTCATAAAGCAGCACAGCTACACAATTATAAAACCAAGCAGTCAAATTTATGACTTTTTCCAAGTATGTTAAGCCATATTGCTTTTAAACAGACATTTCAATGTAAAACAGCAAAATTGATTTTCTAATGACATGAAACCTTCTCTCACCTGGTTCAATAAATCCTGCCAGACACGAAAACATTCCTGGAGGGTAATGTTTCTGTCTTCCAAGAAGACAACTGTTGCCATCAGGATGGATGACCAGCATTATTACAACTGGATCTATGGGACATAAAAATATCATTATAGTTTTACAAAGTGCATGCATGCCTTAACCTGATAAATGCTTTTCAAAGATGCCTATTCAAAACTTGTACATCTAGGACAAAACCAAAATATTTTACAGTCAATTGTACAATCCATCCTTTGTTCCAGAAATGGAAGAAACTAAAACTATGGCAGAAGGAATTAGGAGGTTTTAAGATGGATGAATCTTACACCGTTTAGTATGGCTGTTGTCTTGGAGTGAGAGGAGAGGGACTCGAGCTGTACTCCAAAATTTGTGTAGATGATTTAGATTGTTATATCAATGTGGGATAAAGTGGTTATGGCTTTTGGAACACAATATTGAAATAGAGGACAAACAGCCTTAGGTTGCTCATATGGTGGCTAGAAACTGTTGATCACTTTTATAAGAGAGTTCTCCAAGAGATATATTCAGAAATCCCATATTTCTACTATTGACCCCTACCCAGAAATAGCATGCATCAGAGATCAGTCAACAAAATAATAGCCTTAATTCTCTGATGCCCACTTTCTCAATTATGGATTAATTTTGGCATATTGATTTACTTTGAGGCTTCACTATATTTTCCCCTTAAACACCACTTACCTCACTTTCGTTTTTGGGATCTTGCTGTGTATTGTATTGATTGTATTAGAAATTGAGCATCAAAATTTGTAGTACGAAGCCACTGAATCAACTGCTGCATTATAACTTCACAGACTGATTCAAGAAGGAGTAACTATGTCAGTAACAACTAGATCCCACAGAATTCCCACAATCCATTGGGCTCCATCCCATCCACAAGATGGTGATGCTCTATGATAATACTGACCTTTCGGACAAAGAAATATAACTTGTACATAGTCAACATGCTGCCAATTTGAAAATGTTGGAAAACGTTATCTATTACGCTCCTCTCCTTTAATTCATGATCGGCCTTAAAGAGAATAAAACTAATACTACTTCTTAATTTTGATGATATATATTCACTTTACTCACTACCTAGTTAAATCCTGATATTTCTGGACTTTGCAATAAACTCTGTCCATTCTGCTGGTAGGTTTCTGTCAATGTCATTCTGATCCAGGTGCAGAATGTGTGCCAGTGAAGACCACATGATTTTGCAATTGAGCAAGAAAAAACTTTAGTCCCCGGTCCTGTACAGTCAACTAACTTCCCAAGTTAGCCTCCATACCCTCTGTTTCTCTTTTAGATTTCCAGCATCTGCTCTGTTTTACTTTTTTTGTTAAAGTACTGTACACAATCACTGAAGTGTTTTGACGCAGCAGGAGGCCATTTGGCCCATCATGTCTGCACTGACGTTAAAATGAGCTTCTTGATTTACTGCCAATTTTCTGCCTTTTCCCCATAAACTTTGCCCATTGTTTCTACTTAAATAATCATCCAACACCATCTTAAATGCCTCAATTGAACTTGCCTCCACCACACCTCCGGCCTACGCATTCCAGACTCGAACCATTTGTTCCATGAAAAAGATTTTTCTCATGTCACATTTGCTTCTTTTTCAAATCTGTGCCCTCTCATTCCTGACACTTTTAAAATGGAACATTTTTTCCCTATCTACTGCCCAGCCCCTCAAGATTTTGAAAGCGCCAATCAGATCTCCTCATATAGCCTTCTCTCTGAAGAGAACAGACCCAATCTTTCCAATCTATCCTAATTCCTGAAGTTTCTCAGTCCTGCTACCATTCTCATAAAACTATTCTGCTCTCTCTCCAAAGTTTCCTGTAGTATGGCACCCAGAACTGTACACAATACCTAGCTGAGGTCCAACAAGTGTTTAATGCAAATTTGCTTCACCTCCTTCTTTCATACTCTTTGCCTTTATTAATAAAGCTTACAATACTGTATAATGTATTAACTTCTCTCTCCACACGTCCTCATACTTTTAATGATCTATGGATGTTTGTACCCAGTTCCCTCAGCTCCTGCATCCCCCTTTAGAATTGTACCCCTTTTTTATATTGTGTGCACATGTTTTTCCTTCTTGCATCACCTCGCATTTCTGTGCATTAAATTCCACTGCCCACCTATCTGCCAACTTCACTAACTTGTCTATGTCCTTTTGGAGTTCCACACTGTCCTCTTTACAGTTTAAAAAGCTTCCAAGTTTCATATTATCAGCAAACTTTGAAATTGTCTTGGCTCACCAAAATCTAGATACCTATATAAATGTGTATAAGGAAGAGCAAGGGTCCCAAAACCTACCACTGGGGAACTCCACTACAAACCTTCCACCAGCCTGAAAAATACCCATTGACCATTAATTTCTGTTCCCTGTCATTCAGACAATTTTGTGGCCAAGTTGTTACTGTCCGTTTTATTCCATGAAGTAAAGCTTCTCAGAAGTCTGCTGTCTGGCACTGTATCATCAACTCTCTCTGCTACCTCTTCAAAGAATTCCAACAACTTAATTAAACATGATTTCCCCTGTAGAATTCCATGCTGGCCCTTTGTAATCAACCGACGTGACTACTAATTCTATCCCTAATAACTGTTTCTGCAAGCTATCCCACCACTGAAGTTAAACTGAAGGGCCAGCAATTGCTGGGCTTATCCACACTACCTATTTTGAATAAGGGTGCAATGTTTGCAATTCTTCAGTCTTCTGGCACCTCCCTTCGAGGAAGACTCAAAGAATTTGGCCAATGTTCCTGAAATTTCCAACCCACTTCCTTCAACATCTTTGGATGCATCACACCTCATGCTAGTTCCTTATCAATTTTAAGTACTAACAGTACATTCAAATGGTGTGAGTGGAGTGTCGACAGGTTGAATAATAAGTCTTTGCAGGTGATCAAAAGTGTCGGATGGTGTGAGTAAAGTGTCAACAGCTGAATAGCAAGTGAAGGGATGACCTAGAATCGGATTAATTAAGGCAGAGAGGTATTTACAAAAAAAAAAGATGGTGCTGGAAACAAATCAAATGGCTGGAATAACATGATAGGTGTAAGAGTTGCATGCCAAAGGTCTAACCAAAGTAACAAGTAATTATCACGGTCTGGGTATATCATCTGTCTTCTTCGTAAAGACAGACGCAGAATATTCATTTAATGCCTCCTGCTTCCATGCGTAAATTTCCTTGTTGATCTCTAATTGGCCCTATTCCTCCTTTTACCATTCTTTTACTACTTACGGCAAACATTTGATTAACCAACATCTATGGGACCTGCACAATGCCAGTTGATCAAATATTCTGTTTGATCAAGAGGTCCGCATAATCAATGTAAAACACATACTTATTAATAAAAATGTAATGCAGGCAGTATACATATCACTGTTACACTTTATTTATAGCATAAATCACAAATAATAATGCAACTTTGCCTTAAATAAAACGTACCAGCAGAGACCCTTCTCACTTGCACCCTCAACTGACTACTTGGACATCATGGAGATCGCATTAATATTTCAGGTATATAATTTTTGCCGTTTTATCAACAGTGCTGGTTCATATGGTGCAGGTTAAAACAAAGTTTGCTATAAATGCCGATAGAAAGCTTTGGGATTCCCCTTTAGTTGGATGCCAGGCTTCTTGTAATTGCTATTTTCTTCCCTGATATATTTCTTTACCTCCCCTCTGAACCTTGAGTATGCCTCTTGGTTCTCAGTTGTATTTTCTACCTGATCCCCGTCATAAGCATTGCTCTGAAAGTGAACAATATTCAAATACAAAATTAAGTTATAAACTGGTAGTAAATTGAAATAAGATTGCACAAGAACAGTAGTCTTTCAGCAAAGTAAATATTGAGAAATCCCCTTGCTTTGTGTATTATTTATCATACCTACACGTGGATAGCAAGTATTATGGATTCCTTGGAGGCTTGGACAATTTTCCTGCAAGCATATCCTCTTATAACCATTATCTTGAACTTCTGTGTTACTTCCACAGGTAGGACAGAACTTGTACCGACTATGCCAGGCAAGGACAGATCTGGCCTGTGCCACCACACCTGAATAAAAAATAAATTGTGTTCAATCTGCATCAACAAATAGTTTAAAATACATGCAAAATTGACACAATATACTAAATATTAGAAATTGAAATCAGAAGTAAACACAGAAAGTACAGGAAACACTCAGCAGCTGAGATAGCATTTGTAGGAAGAGAGTCAGAGGTTTGATCTTTTCAGCTCAATCATGAAAATCTGGCTACAAAGGCAAGGAATAGGGGCATGAAAAGCAAAGGTCTTCAACTCGTTGAAGAAAAAGTAAATAACTGATAGAAATGATGAAAATGGTTGATAATCACCTTTCTCCAGGCCTGATCTTGGACCGTGGGGGTCTTCTCCACTTTGACAGATTTTCCACGTATCCATTTCTCACTGCTATTCTGCTGTAACTATTCACACATCCTCTGAACATACATTTTATTTCTGCAATGTCTCCTCTTGTCAGTGGCAACTGTGGCTCAGTGCCAAAACTCTTGACTCTGAGTCAGAAGGCTATGGGATGTAGTCTCACTCGAGGGCTTGACCACAAAAACAGAACCTGGCACTCTGGTGCAGTACTGATGAATAACTGTACAGGTGGGGTTCTGATTTTTAAAGAGACATTCTGCTCTTTCAGATGGTGTAATCGATCCATACCATTATTTTGGAGAACATCAAAGGAGTTATCTTTCTTAACACTCCATCAATATTTATGCCTCAATTAACATCACCAGAAACAAATTATCTGGTCATTATTACACTACTGTTTCTCAGAGATTGCAAACAAACTGCTGTACTTAGCTGCAACTGTGACTACATTTCTTAACTGGCCACAAAGCATTTCTGAAGAAGGGTCTAGGCCTGAAACGTCAGCGTTCCTGCTCCTCTGATGCTGCTTGGCCTGCTGTGTTCATCCAGCTCTACACCTTGTTATCTCTTATTTTGGTATGTTATTGTGATCGGTGCTATTTAAATGCAAGTTTTTTCTTTCACTGTTGCCTCTTTTTACAATGTACCAATACAACTTCCTCTCATTTGTATCCTCTCCTGTTCTTTATCTAATCACAGATTTTTGACTTTCTGCAACCTTGGCTATGTATCTCATTTAAAAACTTGTAACTTTTCTTTTATAACATCTTTCTTTTCTGACAAAGATCATTGATTTGAAACTTTAACTCTGTTATTCTCTCTGCACAGATGTTGCTTGGCCTGTTCAGTGCTTGCAGCATTATATATGGTCGTGTTGGTTAGACCAAACATTTTAACATCAAGAATGAATCTCACTTTGTATACGATAAATACCAATGCAGAATGTTCATGGCTGTAAATGAAACATCAATGGTGAAACATACCAGTATTGTGAAATGGATGCATATTGAATTGGTTGCCCATTTTGGACCTTGCCTGATATTCTTTTCTACTGTCATCATAATTATAAGCTAAGTATATTTACCACTATACCACAAGATTCCTGAGAAATGGTACGAGCACGCAGTGGACTCTGTGATAACAATACTACCTGCTTTTCTAAATTTTAATACATTAATGCATTATTGAATCTACTAGTAGCAATCACAGTATGCTACGAACACTTAAAAAGCTATGGGCACCCAAATGCATTTAAGAAATTGGCTGAAGTACTGAATACTCAGCAGATTCCTAGTAAAGTCAATTGTTATGAATTAAGAGCTAGATAAGACTGAACTTAAACCATAAAACTAATCTTCAAAACAGGGCCTTCAATATTTATGTGTTCTAACTATAATATCATTAATAATTTACACGGACAGTGAATTGAATACAGCCATAAAAGTGCTAAGTTAATAGACAACTTCAAACTATGAATGTAAAATGTTTCCATGCATGTTAATGATCCCTCTTACTGAAGCCATACTTATCCCATGACAATCATGTATGGTGGAACTGAACTGGTTTTCTTTAATGAAAAGAAGAAATATGGACCAGATTTTTCAAATGCTAAAGGGGATAACACAGATTGAAAATTCTTGGCATTTGGTCTCTGAATGTAGAACTGCAGGACATGAGAATAAAGAGAACGTATCTATAAAAATTTCCAGATGAGAAGGGCCCCCTTCCGAGTTTTGCATATGTGAGAAGTGTTTAAAAGTGATGTGGGATCTGGATATAAGGAGAAACTATTCTCACTGTCAGAAACGTTGTGTACCACCGGGCAACGATTTAAAGTAATTGGGGAACGAACCAAAGACAACATGAGGATATTTTTTATATTCAATAATTGTTAGGATTTGGAATGCACTGCTTGAATTGTGATGAGACAAATTCAATTGGTACCTTTCAAAAGGGATTTGTTAATTATCTGACAAGAAAAGATTTGCACGGCTTGAGAGGAAAGGTGCAGGTGTGGACATTGGTCCTGGGTTGCTCTTGCAGAGAGACAGCATGGACACCAGAAAACAAATGGTTTCCTTCTAGGCTGCAACCATTTTCTGATTTTATGACAGGTAGATTAGACTCCCAGATACAATACTTAAAGCAGTACTGATAAACATCTTCAAGAACAGTCTGCTTAGGAATTACATTGAAGACTGTAAGGATAAAACAGAAAACATAATGAACTGGGTTATGGAAAACTGTGGGCCCTGTACTTTGAACTCATTGAAATGTCATATCGTGGAAGACATCTGGTTAATACTTCATAAAGAATTCAAGTTTTAAATTAACTTTGGGGAGGGTAAGGAAAAAATGTTGCAGAAGCTATTTTCAGGATACTGAAAAGGATTGTGCTAATACCCTTTTCTTATTCCATGCTTTTAATATTCTTAACTGAGTATTTTATTGTAATTTTACAACTCAAGCACAATATAAGTGAAAACACAGACTATGCAATGACAGGTTGCAGTTCTAAATGTATTAGTACTCACCGGCTTCTTCCTTATTTAAGTTCAATAGATGTGGGATGAGTGGCTGGAGAAAACGACAATCTGGGTATTTAACCCTAAAGTTTTCGGGAGCAACAAATTCTGCATTTACTGCAAACCAAGCAATAAGCCCATTATCTTCTGCTAAGGCACTGCCTACTGCAACTTTAGTACAAGCTCCACCCTGTAGCTCTGCTCCAAGGAAAACTGAAGTGACTTCTGGATTGGCCAAGAGCTGTTCCACATCATCGTACTGCAATCTGCAGAGGTGGAAGCCAGTTTTTCCAGAGTCTTCACATTTTGCTGAAATAACTAATGGATTTAGATTGGAAAATAAAATGTAGACAGTGGTTGGCTGTATCTGTTTGTTTTTTATCCAATCAGAATTGGTCCTTTTTACACTTAATCTATTGAGCAAAGTTCTGCCAAAATAATTCTCATTTTCTTCTGGGCCATCATACCACATCCTTGATCTAGCATCAGATTTAGGGTTTGCCAACAAATCAGCAATGTGCTTGTGTCCCCAGAATTCTGCAATATCCAGTGCTGTTTGTCCTGAATTATTTGAAATAGACTTATCACACCTAGAGGAAAACAAAAAGTGTACAGTGCACTAAATTAGATTTAGTACAAGACAGGGTTCTGACCCAAGTTTTTAAATTATTTTTGAAGACATTACAAACTAACACTATCAGCCAATTCCGAGGTACTTAGGAGACTACTGGAACTTTGCTGGTCACTGCTAAAATGTTTTAACTAGATTGTGTTTCAGCCATTTGGCCAAAACAGCTAGAACATGCTACATAGCAATCAGTGTAAACAATAAGCAATACAAAGTTATGGGATACCAAGGTGTAGAGCTGGATGAACACAGCAGGCCAAGCAGCATCAGAGGAGCAGGAAGGCTGACGTCAAAACCAGCTCTACACCTTGGTATCTCAGATTGTCCAGCATCTGCAGTTCCTGCTATTTCTGAAACAAAGTTATGGATTAGGTTGTGAGGTCTGCAGTGACTCCGCAAATTTATCTGATGAATAGCACAGTCTTACAAAGACGGATGCTTCCAACTTTTAGCCCTGGCTGCAAGTGTATTAGAAGTGCATCAAACTGCAAGTCACTCAGGTTTCTCACATTCTAATCTCTTTAACATAGAAGCTTGCAATAATGCGACTGGCAGAAACCAATGCAGCAAGTCCAGAAGACCACTCATAACTAATGGTAAGATGATAGATCATAGAATCCCTACAGTGTGGAAACAGGCCCTTCAGCCCAACAAGTCCACACTGCCCCTCAGAGCATCTGACCCAGGCCCATCCCCCTACAACCCACCTAATCTATACATCCCTGAATACAATGGGCAATTCAGCATGGCCAATCCATCTAACCTGTATATCTTTGGACTGTGGGAGGAAACCGGAGCACCTGGAGGAAACCCATGCGGACAAGGGGAGAACGTGCAAACTCCACACAGACAGTTAGCTGGGGGTGGAATTGAACCCGGCTCCCTGGTGCTGGGAGGCAGCAGCGCTAACCACTGAGCCACTGTACCCCCTAGTTACTACATCTTACCTGCCATTGCTTGAAACATATCTATTGAAATGTCAAAGCTTTTGAAAGAATACAGAAAATTTCAATTAAAAAAAACAGGAGTGTTGAAACCATTCTGCAAAGTGAAGATGCTACGAAAAGTTCATAATCATGTTCCTATCTTGAATTGCAAGTGGATTGTAAACTGTACACCAGGGTAATTTAGTTAATATAAATCAGTACTGTTTAGTACAAGGATTTTTTTCAACAGTTTGTTTTTATATTTCACATAAATCTAAATATAATTAATTATCTTGTTGTGGTTCATGGTTCAGTTTACCACTCTTTGTGCAGGTGCTGTTTCAGGCACTGTACAAAAATACCACAAGAGCTTTAATCAATTTCCCCTTTGTAAATTTCCTACTTGTGCGCTCTTTATGTAGAGCCCTGTTTTCTGCCAGTGCCACCAGAAAATGGTACATGCCTAGTTTACAAATTTTCTGTTAATTAATTTTAGATGCTAGAATGTTATTGGCTGTGCACGTGTGATTTGTCAATTTCTACTAGAAACCAAGTAAAAGATGCTTAGATGCTATTTCAAAATTCCTCAATCTTAATTTGGTCATCACAGTCATATTAAATTTCAAAGAAGTTACTTAAAATAGGAGTCCTTTTATCGAATGTGAACCAGGAAGCCTAGCTACAGCACAATGTCCGCAGCTATCACTGAGCAATTACCAAAACTATTCGTTAAAGACTGCCACTTTACCCTTTTTCAAGAAGCAGCTGAATAACTTCAGAATGTCCATTCCTGCTAGCATACATCAAGGCGGTCCAGCCTTTTTCATCCACTTTGTTGATGAGAGACAGAGAATAATTTAACATAGTTGACAATTTTTCTGTATCTCCTGTAGCAGCATTCTTGTGGAACTGTGTGACCATTTCTTTCTCAGGACTGCTTTCAGCATTCGCCATCTGTATTTCACCTAATCTGGCCAAGTAAATATAGGGAGTAAATTACACTCAATGCACGTAACATAGTCTGTTGCACATGTGGAACTAATGTGAGGCTTAAAGGACTTATAAATACTAAACAAAAACACAATTTTTGATTAACAGAAACAATCCTTTATAAAAAATAAAACACAAATACTAGAAATATCATTTAAATGCTGGAAGTATCAGAACCATAAAGATAGGATTCTTCAGGTGAGACCTGTCTTCAAAACAATTAATTCTCTAGTTCTGAGGACAGGTCACACACAGCAAATTAACCTGCTGTTTCCTTTCCAAATACTGGCTGACCTGCTGTGTATTTCCACCATTTTCCATTTTCTATTTCAGTAAGATTCCTTGATAGGCGTTTTGTACACAGAATGGCGTCAACATACAATTTCTATCTTTTTTTATTTGAAAATTGATTGCTAACAATGATTATTTTACAGCTTACATTTTTCAATTTGCTGTGTTCCAATTAAAAATGTTTATAAAATACATATAAATCATCTATTAAAGATCAAAATATCAAAGTATACAAGCACCAATTTAAAAATAAATTATCTGTATATCTACAATGAATTACATTATTTTTTAAATGTGTTGTATAAGCAAAAAATATGATTTCAGGATTTTTATAACTTTAGCTACTGTGATAGGTTTGAGCAATTTTTACTTTATCGCCTATAATTTATCATTCATCCCATAAATAACCAATTACATTAAATATTTTTCCAGGTGAGACAGTGATTAGCTCATACTTTTGCCAAATTCATAACTGTATTCACTAATCATTACTGTGGACCTACCCATACTGGGGAGACTAACAGTGTGGTTGACTACTTTATACAGCATATCTGTTCCGTCAGCAAGAGGGACACCAGTCACTTGGCACATTGAACTCTATCCTTGCATTTCTACATTATTGGAATGAAGCTTGAGGAAGAGCAACTAATTCTTTTTTTGTAGCTCGATGGTTTTAATATTAACAGTTTATCACTTTAACCACAGATTCCTTTTTATTCTTCAAAAGGAGTCTGGTATTGCAGGATTGGTAATATGGAGGATATGGAATGGAATCACTTTTCCTGACACAGCTGAAAGGATAGTTGGTATATTTGGCATCTACCTGTGTTTCTCCCCCTCAACTACAGACCATTGAACCTAATGGATTTCGGAAGTTGCTCGCCCCTTCTTTCTTTCTTTGTGTCTTCTTAATCATACCTCCCATTAAATTGTCCTGTTCTTATAATCATGTTACAAATTTTTGTATGTGCTAACTTGCCTCTCCTCTATTTCCCTAGTTATCCTCTTTATAAGCTTGTTAGCACTACTGCCTCACAGCGACAGGGACCCGGGTTCGATCTAGCCTCGGGCGACTGACTGAAGTTTGCACGTTCTTCCCGTGTCTGGGTGGGTTTTCGCCGGGTACTCTAGCTTCCTCCCACAGCCCAAAGATGTGCAGGTTAGGTGGGTTGGCCGTGTTAAATTACCCAGTGTTCAGGGTTGCGTAGGTTAGGTGTGCTAGACAAAAGAAATGTAGGGTTAGGCGAATGGGTATGGGTGGGATGCTCTTTGGTGGGAGGGTGTGGACGTGTTGGGTCAAATACCCTGTTTACACGCTGGGGGGATTCTATCGAAAATTCGTCAATCTTTCCGTTCCCAGATCAGTTTTCACACACGATATGCTTGCTAATCCTATTTATGTTCTTTTTCCCACATGCTGTTTGTCTTGCTCAGTGCTGTTTTTAGTGCGGGTTCTTGTAGTCTGTCCTGTTTACTTGATATGGATGGAGTGCAGGATTCAGTCCGAGTCTTCCAGCAGAAACATACAATAAAAAGCTGCCAGCTGGGAACCAGTGCGTGTACTTAAGTGGGATGAAAAACTAAGTAACCGATTCGCCACTCAATCTTTGAAGAAATCGCCTTGTTTCATGTTTATATATAAACTTTGTCCCACTATTTAAATAATACGCGTAACTTGCAAAGTATGCTGCAGATATAGTAGGAACTGCAGATGCTGGAGAATCCGAGACAACAAGGTGCATACTACATCCGCTGTACCCGGTGTGGCTTTCTCTACATCGGGGAAACCAAGCGGAGGCTCGGGGACCGCTTTGCAGAACACCTACGCTCGGTTCGCAATAAACAACTGCACCTCCCAGTCGCGAACCATTTCAACTCCCCCTCCCATTCCTCAGATGACATGTCCATCCTGGGCCTCCTGCAGTGCCACAACGATGCCACCCGAAGGTTGCAGGAACAGCAACTCATATTCCGCTTGGGAACCCTGCAGCCCAATGGTATCAATGTGGATTTCACAAGTTTCAAAATCTCCCCTCCCCCTACCGCATCCCAAAACCAGTCCAGCTTGTCCCTGCCTCCCTAACCTGTTCTTCCTCCCACCTATCCCCTCCTCCCACCTCAAGTCGCACCTCCATCTCCTACCGACCAACCTCATCCCGCCCCCTTGACCTGTCCGTCCTCCCTGGACTGACCTATCCCCTTCCTAACTCCCCACCTACACTCACCTTTACTGGCCCCATCGACCTGTTTGTTTCCTCTCCACCTATCCTCTCCTCTATCCCTCTTCTATCCGCCTCCCACTCTCTCCCTATTTATTTCAGGACCCCCTTCCCCTCCCCCTTTTCTGAAGAAGGGTCTAGGCCCGAAACGTCAGCCTCTCTGCTCCTATGATGCTGCTTGGCCTGCTGTGTTCATCCAGCCCTGCACCTTGTTGCAAAGTATGCTGCAGATAGCTGTTTTGCATGCCCACGTTGGCTATTCCCTGAATTTTACCTATGGGATTCAATCACTAACTCGAAGATTACTCTCTTTATCCGGTTCAATGCTGAGCGCGAAACCGAATTCCAGGCCACCCAAACTCCTTTGCAAATCCCAAAAACTTCATTCATCTCGCAGTGCACTGCTGCCACGAAACGGGATGAACTTCCGGGACTAATAATCAAAGCAGAGGCTAAACGTCATCTTTAGACTCCAGCCTGAGATCACCTCTTGAACAATAAATTAATGGTCGGCCACAATTTAGGGTGACTCATTCTTTCCCTTAAAGGACTGCGGGCGCTGGGTGAATGCAAACATTTGACGATACTGAACTCTTTCGCAAACTTACAGTAAAACCCAATGTCAGGCTGCGGGCGAGCGGTCAATATCTCAATGTGAAACCTAACAATAGCTTCCTGAGGTTACAGCTCACAGATCAGAGCACATCGACACATTTCAAAATAATATCCTGGGCCAAAAGGTGTAACGTCTTTTTTAAAATTAGAACCGCCACCTTTTTTGTATTAAACTAAATACGTGAAGATCAGAGATGTAATAATTTATAACTGAGAAGCTTTCGGCTTCCATCGTTGCATTACGGGAGTTGTAGTTCTTGCAGAACTTGTTGGATTTCCTCAATAAAAACCGAAAGAACTGCGGATGCTGTAAATCAGGAACAAAAACAAAGTTGCTGGAAAAGCTCAGCAGGTCTGGCAGCATCTGTGAAGGAAAAATCAGAGTTAATGTTTCAGTTCCGGTGACCCTCAGTACTGAGGAAAGGTCATCGGACCCGAAACGTTAACTCTGATTTTTTTTTCTTCACAGATGCTGCCAGACCTGCTGAGCTTTTCCAGCAACTTCTGTTTTTGTGTAGAACTTCCTCATTGCAATTGCTGTCACCGCATCTAATCTGTAACGCACAAAGTCTGAGGACAATCTTATCAATATAGAGAGGACTAGGTGGAAGTACTCTCTGTCAATCTGATATGATGGTGGCAAAATTGGGGAATTCTGTAGGGCTTGACTTCCAGCTGGTCACCCAGTGAGGCATATAATACTAAAAAGACTATCAACCCTGATAACATTTTCGTAATAGTACTAAATACAGATGCTCCAAAATTAACCCCAACCTTTTTTTAAGTGCATTCATGGAAGAAGCCTGGGCAAGAATTACTTCTTAGCCTTGAGAAGATTGGGGGTGAACTGCCTTCTTGTACTGCTACAGTCCATTTGCTGTAGTGAGATCCACAATGCTGTTAGGGAGGGAGTTCCAGGATTTTGACCCAGTAACACTGAAGGAATGAAGTCAAGACGCTAACATAGCACAGTACGGTACAGGAACAGGCCCTTCAGCCTACTATGTCTGTGCCAACCATTATGCCATTGGAAACTAATCCCAACTGTCTGCACAAGGTCCTGGTCCTTTTATTCTCTGCCTGTTCTCAAACATTGCTATCATCTGTTTCTACCACCTACCCTGGCAGTGTGTTCCAGACACCGACCACCCTCTGTGTTAAAAACTTTCCTTGCACATCTCCCTTAAACTTTCCCCCTCTCACCTTAAACCTATGCCCCATAGTATTTGACATTTCGCCCTAGGAGGAAGATTTTGACTATCCACCCTACCCAGGTCTTCTAACAGGTCGTCCCTCAGCCTCTGACACTCTAGTGAAAACAATCCATGTTTGTCGAGCCTCTCCTTACAGCTAATACAGTCCAATCTAAGCAACATTCTGGTAAATCTCTTTTGCACCCTCTTCAAAGCCTCTACATCTTTCCTATAGTGTGGGGACCAGAATCTACACAGTTTTACCATCTATCTGCAGTCCTTGTCCTTTTAGATGGTAGTGGTCGTGAGTTTGGAAGATGCGGGCTCAGGCCCCTTGGTGGAATTTCCTTCCCAACAGCGCTGTAAATGTACCTATATGCATGGACTGTAATGGATAAAGAATGCAGCTAATCACCATCTTCCTCAAGTTGTTTAGGGATGGACAATGAATGCTGGCCTAGCCAGCCGACATCCCATGAACAATTTAAATAAAAAACATTTGAGAACAATTTGGTCTATGTTGTACCTTTTTTTCCATTGTAGATGATTTTTCAATGGTCATTGACTCCTCCAAACCAATCTGTGCTGTTAGAACTTCTTTCCCACTTCAATTATTTTTGTGGCACCCAATATTTTATTCATTTGCGTTCTACCTTGATTCCCCATATTTTTGTTGTCATCATGGGGAATAGGTGAAATTTATCCCAGAATTAGAAGCAGCAGTTGCTGGGCATCTGCATAAAAAGCTTATGTGCTGAAATCCTCTGGTAGAAACATTGGACAGGTCAGAAAAGAGAAAAAGCTAATCTTCTAGAGATTGGAAAGTGGCAGAAGGGAAGCCAGATACCTTCCCATTAGCCACAAGATATTTCAAAAGGCAGCAGATCAGCCTTTCACTGTGACACACAAGTCAGTCTTGAATGTGGGCTCTGCATGAGTGGAAGACGGTGTGCTATATGCACGTGCTACTCAAGTTCAAAGGTACCACTTCTGTCAGCACGACACTGTTTCATTACTTATCTGGAGCATTAGCCTACAATTTTGTTTAGAAATCTTGGAGAACGACTCAGGACCCAGAGGTAAGAATGCTGCCAACTGAGCCACAGCTGATGGCACCCCCTCTGCCCCCACTGATCAGAGGAAGGAGGTCAATGAATCCAAAGCATTTCCTTGGGTGCAAATGTCAGGAAAAAGTGGCAGAAACCCATTTTGTTTGGATTTACCCCATTTTGCTTGGCTCCCCATGTGTTCACGTGTAATGGAGATGCTCCTTGCTACAAAAATCATACGTTTAATGGTACCAACAGTTGCTCAAAAAGGCATGTACAGCAGAGGGAGAGGTTACAATGTGACTGAAAACAAACCAGCCTGTACACCTAAGAGTACAATTGAACTTCTTTAACCAGTCTGATTCTTGTTGAGGATATCGATCCACAGCATAGATTCAAATATGTTTTGCTAGGATGCCGTTGTCTTATTTGCCTGCCAGAACTGTCATTGAGTACCACTGGGCCCATGAAAAATAGCACTATGAGTGATCCCACGCAATAGGCTTCCTATTGTATCCCACACAATAGGCTGGGCTGTTTTCATTTGTTCCCTTGGGATGTCCATTCTTCCTGTTTTCTGCTTTCATTCTCATAGGGAATAAATAACAGAAATACTACTGAAGGTAGTATTGATCCAGACTGTCTTCTGCTGTCAAACCAGTAGTAGACCCTGGATCACTGTGAAGTAGTTTCATGTACTACTGAAGTGGTTTGTTCAGTGAAATTGAGTCCAGTATTAGATTAAATCACAAGGCTATGATTAAAATGGTGCTGGCAACAACATGCTTATGGCAGCTTGATCAGCACATGTTAGTGCCAAACCTTTCTTCTGGTTTGAGAAAGTCTGGACTGAAGGTTGAGATTGTGATCTGTAGAGTTCATTAGGCTGAGGCTAGGGAGGTGTTAATAAGAATGGGGACAAATCAGATGCTGTTTATTACACCTTTTCACATTTCCTTTTGTTTTTTCCCTCTCGGTTTGTGACACTATCGTAAAAAATCAATGTAACACTTACATGACCCCATGTCTAATTAGCTGCTCATTGAAAATCTGAGTCCTCACTTAGAATGACTAAACTGTCAATATCACCAACTTGATGCACTGTTAAAGCCTGCATTCTTTACCAATTTGTAATGGCTGACTGCATTGTAACTATTGTGGGGTTGGCGGTGTGGAGGGCATGCAAGATAAATGCTGCCAGAAAAAATGTTTAGTTGGAGTGAAGGAAAACTAGAAATAATTGTGAAAGCTGAGAGGAAGCAGCAGTTTAAATAGATGTTTTCTTCGGAAGAAAATGTACTTCACTACGCACAGATCCTTTTGGGTGTAACCATGAGGGTTGAATGCTTTGGTAGGAGAATAGGGAGGTCTGTTTTTACTTTGAAAGGTAAATCTAGCTTGGGTAGAGCAATCAAGGGATCTCATTGTTTAACTAAATCAATCATTAAATATTATGCCATTAGTTAGCAAGTTCATTTAAAAAAGAACGCTGCCATCTTATGTGACAATGTGGAAAATTGTCCAGGTATGTTCTGTACATAAAAAGCAGGACAAATCCAGGACAAATTATTGCCCGATCAGTCTACTCTTGGTCATGTAAAAGTGAAAGAAGGTGTCATCAACAGTGCTATCAAGCAGCAGCTGCTCAGCAATAACCTTCTCAGTGACCCCCAGTTTGGATTCCACCAGGGCCATTCAGCTCCTGACCTCATTACAGCCTTGGTTCAAACATGGACAAAACAGAGGTGAGGGAAGAGTGACAGCTCTTGACATCGAGGCCGCATTTGACTGAGTGTGGCACCAACAAGTCCTAGCAAAACTGGATTCAATGAGAATCAGTGGAAAAGTGCCCAGCGATTGCAGCCATATCTGGCTCAAAGGAAAATGGTTGTGGTCATTGAGGTCAATCATCACAGTTCCAAGACACCTCTGCAGGAGTTCCTCAGAGGGATGTCCTAGGTCCAATGATCTTCAACTGCTTCATCAATGACCTTCCCTCCATTATATGGTCAGAAGTGGGAATGTCTGCTGATGATTGCACAATGTTCAGCACCATTTGTGACTCCTCAGATTTTGAAGCAGTCCATGTTCAAATGCAACAATATCTGCATTATACAGGCTTGGACTGAAAAGTGATAAGTAACATTCACATCACATAAGTTCCCTCCCTGATGGCTTTGTGGATCTACCTACAGAAAATAGACTGCAGTAGTTCTAGACGGCAGCTTATTATATATTTCTCAATGGCACAGCCAGCGATGCTCACGTCCCACAAGTGAATAAAAAAAATTCCAGGCAATGTCCATCTCCAACAAGGGAGAATTTAACCATCATTCCTTGGAATTAAATGGTGTTGCCATCACTGAAGACCTTGCAGTCAACATCCTGGGGCTTACCATTGGACAGCAACTGAACTAGACAAGCCATATAAATACAGTGGCTACAAGGGCAAGCCAGTGGCAAGGAACCTTGCAGCAAATAACTTACTTCATGATTCTGCATAGCCTGTTCACCATCTGCAAGGCACAGTCAGGAGTAT